TTCATGTCATTTCCACCACTAGGAGTATTATATCAATCATCCATTGTAGCTCCTCTATACTTTTTCGAATCACTCTACTTTCTAATTTAAGTTACTCCACCTTGCCTCTTGAAGGAAGAGGCAAAAAATTTTGATAATCAACTACGTATTAAAAGCTACTTCTATTAGGATAGTTTTTCTTAACTCATATTGAAAGCTATTTCTATTAGGCAATGCCCCCATACTTTTTTTTAGCGATTTTTCCACATCAAAACTTATTCATTTATTAAGTTTTTTTTTTTTTAACTTATATAATTATGTGTTTAAAGTCATTCAAAACTTAGAATGTCATATATAATCTGTCAAATAAAACACTAATTTTTTTTATATACAATAACAATACTATAATTATTCTTATCTATCTATTTTTGCACATATATTGCATGCAATGCAATTGTTAGTCTAGGTTTATAAATTTAATCAAAGTCCAAAAACACTCAAACAAACTGTTTGTCTTACTTCCTTCTACCATAGACTATTTATTTAATATTTAAGTACCATAATGAACTTGAATTGAATGATCCTAAGCTTATTGGATTCTCATTGAGATTTTCGGTTTGATTATAACTATGAAAAATTTGAAGTTCAATTGAGCCTTCAATATTTCTAATTAATAGGTATGAGATATTGAAAAGAAAAATATTATTTTATCTATGTATTTTTGCAATAGTCCCATATGTCATATCATCCACATGATCAATAATGATCATAAGTTCATGTCTAAGTCTTTTTGATTTTTTTTGCAACCACATTATTTACATTTTTAAAAAATTTGAAACTAGCAAAATCAAATGATAGATGAATTTTTTTAATAAAAAACTAAAATGATTTGAATAAATGTCCAACCAGACAATCAACATGTAAAATTAATTTAATTTGTTTTTTGATTTATAGTGACATTAACATTCTCATTATGAGTATTTAAGCCTTGTGCCAAGACAACTAGTACTAATAATGCTAACTTGTGAAGCCCTTATGGATGACTCCTATATATCAAATAGAATGTAAATATTCATATATAAAGTAGCTTTGAACCTTAACATCATTAAAAATGTAACTCTTAAAATATTATAAATATTCTCTACATGAAAGAGACATATAACTGAGCTTAGAGATAGTTTAGAGATCGAAAGTACTCTAAATTTTTGCTTAACTTTAGACATTATTGATCATCGCTAGATGTCATCATCATCTGACTGATGTTGCGCAACTACTGTCATCTGAATATCCTCGTCATCATTTGGTCGACATGCTAGTCCATTCATTGTAATTCAGCCATAATCATCTAACCATCATTGCCCAATAATCATGGGTCGATTGTTGTTTCCAGGTTGTACAGTTCGACAACCGTCTCCCATATGTTATCACCATTTTCTATCGTCTAATCATAATAACCCTTTTTTAAAAAAGATTTTTAGATCATATTTATTATATTTTAATAAAGATGATAGTAAATCCAATTCTGGTTTCTCAAATTTGTGCTTTACTTCAAATCAACCAATCTTTCTCTCCTCTCAAATACCTCGAACTGCCAATCTTCTACAAAAAATTGAAAGCTTTAGACTGCCAATCTCTCGTCCAAAGAATTTCTACTTCCCTTGATGGCTGGAAAGCTAAAATTCTATCATTTGCTGGTAGGATACAATTCCTCAAATTCACCGTAAGCAATACTTTAGCTTATTGGATTAGAGGCTCTATCTTGCCCAAAAGAAGTTGCAAACTTATTAATAGGATGTGCTCTAGGTTCCTATACTTTGGTGATATTAACTTAAGAAAGCTTCATACCATTTCTTGGAAGGACACTTGCACTCCCAAACAAAATGGTGGTTTGGGTATACCATTGATTGACTGTCTTTAACACAGTTTTGCTTGTTCGATCATCTGGAGGTTTTTAAATAATAGCAGCCTACTGTTTGACTGGTGGAGAGCCAAATATCATTCTATGTGGAATTTGTTGCCTATTAAATGCTCTCCTTTCTGGAATTACTTATGCAAGAAGGCTCTCTCCATTAAGAATTGCATCTCTTTGAATGTCCATGCGAGTAATAATTTGTCCTTCTTATGGGACCCTTGGTGCAATGGCACCTCCGTGGTGGAAAAATTGAATGATTTGCAGGTGCTTCATGAATTCTCTTTTATGTCTGACTGGAGAGTCTCTAAAGTTATTAGCGATGATAATTAGATTATTCCTAACTGCTTTGATGTTTCGATTACCTCTGATTTGCTTGTCATCCATATTAACAACCTCCTGAAAAATCATCACTGGTTGGGCTCCCAGAACCCCAACTTTCACTCTTTTCAAAGGAATTTATATGCTTCGCTTAAAATAGTTTCATGGCACAAGCTGGTATGGCATAAAAAAGTGGTTTTAAGGTTCTCTGCTTTTGCTTGGATGGCATTCAAAAGTGGACTAAAAACTGCTGATGTTTTAACGTCTCGTGGGATCACTACTTGCACTAAATGATGTTTTTGTACTCAAGAATCTGAAACTTTATCCCACCTTTTCTTTGAATGCAAATTTACATTCAACATTATCAAGAAGTTTCTTTCGTGGTTGGGCAATCTCCTTTTGAGGCCTTATCTTCATCAAGTTTTTGACAGTTCTTTGGATCAGGGACTTAATGGTCACCACATCAATTACTATCTTCTAGCTTGTTGTGCTTCCATTTACTTTGTTTGGAGGCCTAGGAATGATCGACTGTTTGGTGGCATTTTTTATTGCCAAGCCACGGTTTCTTCTAAAATTAAACAAGCAATCTTGCGGAAGACTGCTAACTGAAAGTATTTCAGAAATGCTAATTGACTGTTGTTCCTGTTTTTGGTATTTGCTGCCTGCCCCCTATCGCCTAGGTTTAAATTTTGGAATGACAATGATGATTGATGCTAACCCAGCAGCCCCTTGGATTGTCTCATTGGCATCCAGGGGCATGGCCCTGGTGTAGTCCCACTTGTGCATTTTTAGTCCCGTTCGTATTTTTCACCATGTGCCGCCTCAATCCTTCAGTTTTTGATCTTAATGTAATTTTTCTTTGGTTTTGATTATTTTGAGTCATTGGTTTTCCCTTTATTATTGAGATCCAGGATTATAGTTTTCAGTTATTTTACTCATTTGTAATTTCTTTTTATCAATGATATGCCCCAAAATTTTCAAAAAAAAAAAAAAAATTCCAATGCTGGTCTTTTTTTTTTAATAATTAAATAAAATATGACAGTTGCATCTAGTTGGCAGGATAAACGGGCGTCGTCACACGTGGATCAAAAGAGACGAGGCTTTTAGTCAGCGGCCCATGGAGGGTCCGAAGAGTCGCTGACTACTGCGACACTGCAAAAGCCGTTCGTGGGGTCCACAGTAGACCATATTTTGGACCTTATCTGCTCCAAACCATTTTGACTTTATTATAATATCATTAATAATATCTGCTTACAGAATTTTTTTAGAATTATCTTTTTTAATTTAGGGGCTATTTGGTTAAAAAAAAAAAGAATGCAATAAATATATTATAAAAATAATATAGTGTATTTGAAATGCTTTAAAATTATTTGATTGAATATAAAATAAAAATGGTGAATTATTTTTTTTTGTTTGATTTGAAATAAAATTAATATAGTGTAAATCATGACTGGTGGCAACCGATGATGGTGGCTAGGTGGCAAGCTGCGCTGGTGGCTTTGGCAGCCGGTGATGGGAGCGGCTGACTACAACTGGCTTTGTCGGTTATGGAGAACGATGGCCCGCGATGGCAGTGGCCTGTGGTGGTGGTGGGCGACCTTAGCCAATAAAGTTCTGGTGTTTTAAAAATCGGTCAAATATGAGGATTTTCAAATATACCAAAAATGAACTAAATGATGTTCCAAATATATCAAAATTTTATATTGCATTTTATTTACTTCAAACCAAATACTAATATTTTTCAAAATATTGCATTTAAAATACTTTACATCCTTTTACTTCAAACTAAATAGCCCCGTATTAGAATTTATGTACAATAATTTATCAATATATAGCACATCCTATGCATTGATTGGCTGATATATATTTTTTAATTATCACAAATATTTCATTCAATTAGACTTGCTATGGTAGTTTAAATTATCATTAGTATAAATTCTCTCCAAAGACTAATTGTTTTAAATTATCTTCTAAGCATCAACACTATTAAATATCAGTAGTAGAAATTATCTTCTTATTCAATTCCCAATAAAATTAATTTAAAATCAGAACACAAATGTATAATTTTAAATTTTAATTTCTTTTTAAAACAGTTTAATCTATATTTAAAAAAATGACCTATTTTAATCTCAAACTAACACATATTAACATACTGTATACAAATCCTTGATAATTTTTTCTCATTGGTTAAAATTTTTTACTATCAATTAAGAGATCCTAAATTCGAAGATTGCGTATATAATTTGTATGGTTACCTTAATTGACCTAAATGTCTGAGGAAAAAACTGATACAAAATAAAACAGAATGGCAACTCTCTACCTTTAGCCAGTTTCTTGGCAGAGATAGATTCTATGAAGTTAATAAAATGAAATAAATAGTTCTCAATATGAATAATAATAATAACAATATGATATTATTAACAAATGATAACATGAAATTTACACATCAGAATGAAGCCTAATTGATCTCTTTCCTGCAAGTGTAGGGGTATCAATTAAGCTTCATTTGGAATGATTTTCTTACTGTTTCTTAAAGCAACTTTTTAATACAAAAATTTTAATTTTTGTATTAAAAAACTATTTTAAGAAGTAAGAAAACATTCTCAGGCTTTGTTTGGGATTTCCTAAAGCAACTTTTTAGTAAAAAATTTAAATTTTTGTACTAAAACTACTTCAAAAAACAATTAAAAAAAAACGTCCCAAACAAATCCTTAGCCCAACAACTATAGACAACACAAAGAAAAATAACCCAGGCAGCACATAGGACATCTTCAATAGAACATAACGGTCATATAGAAGTGCATGACACTGAAAGTATAAAGATGAGCTCTTGAGTCATATATGTATCAACAACTCAAATAAATATCAAAAGCTCTAAGCTATTATTTATTTATTTTACATGCACAAACAATCATACATAGCTAGAGTACATACATAAACATTAAATTAAACTATATACAATACCATCTCAGATTCAATGCCATTACACCATGATGTCACCCTCATCATCACTAGCATCTTCACCTTCTAGAAGCCACTGTTCAAGTTCATCAAGCTCATCTTCTTCATGATGGTACCAGCCAAAAGAA